TACAGACTGCACAGGAAGTGCTACAGACTGCACAGGAAGTGCTACAGCTAGCTGCTCTGACTAGCCTTTAGCTCATCAGAGCTGTCGTTAAAAAACAGCTAAAACCCGTTCCCGTTAAAAATCTGCTTCAGCTACTGGCTCTAGTTTTGTCTTTTTATGTTACCCTTAGCTACTTATTTTTATGATTTTAGGTTTACTAAGCATTTTTTTTTATCTTAGCACTTCACTAAAATCCTGTTACTTTTAGCTTTTCAATGAACTTTTAAACTTTACGTTAGCTTTTTGCTACTTTAAGCTTCCAGCTATCATTTTGCTAATTTAGCTTGTAGCTAGAATTTTGTTACCTTTAGCTTCTAGTTAGCGTTTTAATACTTTTAGCTAGCCTATTGATGCTTTTAGCTTGTAACTAACTGTTGCTTTTAACTAGCATTTTGGTATATTTAGCTTCTAGCTACTATTTTCATACTTTTAGGTTTTGCTTACTCTTTTGCTTCTTTCAGTTTTTAGCTACTCATTTACTACATTTTGCTTTCAGCTCATGTTTTGCCCACTTTTACCCGGCATTCTTCTACTTTAGGCTCTAACTTATTATTCTGCTACTTTAAGCTTTAAGCTAGTGTTTTGTGTCTTTAAGCTTTTAATTGGTGTTTAGCTAGTTTCAACACTTTGTATTTGAGCAAAAACTATAGTTTCTCTATTTTCTATTGTAGTTTGTAATCGGATTAAAATAAACAGTCGTTTTTTTGTAGCGGCAGAGTGACTCATCTTCTCGGACATTGACGAGCTTTGCTCTCTGACACCGCGTTGTCTGCTCGTGAAAAAAGGCCGAACCGGCTGACAGCTTGTTCTCCGTCCGGACCGGAGGAACCGAACCTCGACCGAAGACACGAACCGGAGCCGGTGAACCTTGAATCTTCCGAACCGACGTGGAGAAAAGCTGCCGGTTCCGGGCGGGGAGGTGCTGTCAACGAGGAGCTAAAGGCAGAAGCGGAGCATCCTAAAAAACAGGAAATAGAAGATTCTCTGGTTCTGGTTCTGGTTCTGTTCGGAGGGAGTGAAGATAAACCCGTGACAGCAGATCCACATCCGGTCTCAGGGTCACGGGGCTCGGTTCTGGCTGCGAGATTTGAGGTCTGAAGTCAAGAAATCCCGAACCGAATCAGGACTGAGGTTCTGTCTCATCCTGATGCTGCAGAACCTCAGAGGACCAGAAACAGAACCACAGTCCAGCTGGTCCGGACTCTGGTTCTGTTCCTCTCAGATTGAACGTTTCAGTTTGAGGTGAAGCTTCAGAACAATCAGAGATTTGGACCTTTCAAGTGTTTCAGAACCTTTTCCACAAACCACTGAAGAAAGACCAGAAGGACCAGGACCACTGATCCATTCAGAACCATCCCAGACCTGAAGCAGTCCTCCTGGCCCCCGTCAGACCCGGTTCTGGTGAGGATGAAGGAGACCTGCAGGATCTGCGCCCGGGAGCTCTGGGGGAACCAGCGCCGCTGGATCTTCCACCCTGGACCCAAAGTGAGCCTGCAGGTCCTGCTGTCCCAGGCGCTGGGCCGGGTCCTGACCCGGGACGGGCGGGGCGAGTTCTGCTGCTCCAAGTGCTCCTTCATGCTGGACCGGATGTTCCGCTTCGACACGGTGGTGGCGCGGGTGCAGGTCCTGTCCCTGGAGCGGCTCCACCGGCTCCTGCAGGAGAAGGAGCGCCTGCGGCTCTGCGTGGCGGGTCAGTACCGCCGGAACAACCCGGAGGATGCCGGTCCACCAGAACCAGGCCAGGAGCTGGACCTGTCTGCTCTGAGGGGGGGCGGGTACTCGGACCTGGTCCAGGACGACCTGGCGTACTCTGTGTACGAGTCGTGGGCGGACCAGGAGGACCCAGACCAGCAGGTCCACCAGTGTACTGGGCCGGACTCTGGACTGAAGCCCAGGCGGTGCCGGGGCTGCGCTGCGCTCCGGGTCCCAGACCCGGACTACGAGGCGGTCTGTAAGGTACCCAGGAGGACCGGGCACAGGAGTACTTCCTGTGGACCGGCGACCCGGTTCTCCCTGGGCGGGGAGGATCCCAGAACCTCTGCAGGGTCTGAGGTACCACCAGGGACGGATCTGAGGACCCCAAGTCCTGCGTCCTCTGCAGAGTCCCTGGACCTCCACAGAGACCAGCTGGAACCAGAACTAGAGGAGACTTCAGGAGTACCGGACCCCCCCTGGGACAGACCAGGCCATGACTTCTGGTCCAGCCTGGACCTGATTTTGACCCTCCTGCGGACCTCGGAGTACCGACCCGTGGAGACCCGCAGGGGAAGCAAGCTCCCAGTTCTGGTCAAGTCTAAACTGGACCAGGTTCTGTCCAGCCCACCAAGGCCTCCCTGCAGAGGCCTGACCCGCTGCGACCTGGACCCCCAGCAGGCCGGCCCTGAGGTTCTGGCCCCCTGTCCCGATCTGGTCCTGCAGGAGGAGCTGGGGGACATGGAGGACTGGCTGGACGAGTACCTTCAGCTGGGCCCGGTTCTGTCTCAGCATGTGGACCAGGACCCAGAGAAACCAGGAAGTCCCAGAACCACAGACAGGTTCAGAAAGGTTGGTTTCCTCAGAGAGGAGGATTGTGGGTAATGTAGGAAACAACCATTTTATCAGCCTCATCTTAAAAGAACCAGAAACTGAAGTTTTACAGCTAAAACATCAAACACTAGCTAAAAGTAGCTAAATGCTAGATGAAAGCTAAAAGAAGCCAATTGCTATCAAAAAGCTAAAAAGCCAAGCACTAGCTACAAACTGAAAGTAACTAAAGGCTAGCTAAATATGGCAGGATAGTAGCTAAAGTCTATAAAAGGAAAGCAGAAGGCTAGCTAGTAGCTGAAAGTAACAAAAGGCTAAAAGTAGCAGAAAGCTGCTAAAAGTCTCAGCATCCAGAATCAGAGCAGCTGAATGAACAGATCGTCTCGTCTTTCTTTGGGGGAAAGTTTAAACGAAACATTTTGAAAAATATAAACGTTATAAAAATCCTAATCTGCAGCTCCTGAATGAGCCGAACGTTTTGATGTGAAATCAGCTAAAATAACACAAAGTGAGCGGACGTGGCCGAAAGATAATAACATGGCTCCTGCTGAGTCATGGTGCTGCAGACCTCTGGACCGAACCGGGTCGGGTGTCTCTGGTCTCACAGAGACCACTGGATTGTCCTCCAGAGACGGGGACGGGAGCACCGCCCCCCTCCCCCAGCGTTCAAGCAGCTCCCAGTGTTGCCGTGGCAACCGTCTCCAAGCCTCCTCCTGTTGTCATGAAGAGTCTGAACAAAGGCACGTTTGTTGGACCGCTCCCAGAACCTTTACAGAACCGGTCCACTCGCCCCTGTTAGCAAAATATCTCGTGAATTTTAATGAAACTGTCAGAAAAAAATCATCAGATGTTCCACAGCTCACACACGACTCAAGATGGCCGCCACAGCTAATCGACCTGAAACTCTCTGTTTTACAGATAATGAGCTAAAATCTGGTGTGGCAGTAGCCGAGGGTCATCCCCAGCACATGCAAACAAAAGTAGCTTAATGCTAAAATTAACTATATAGTTAAAAACTCAAATTACTAAAGCTAAAGTCTGAAAAGTAGCTTAAACCTAAAATGATCAAAATAGTAGCTAAATCCTACAAAAACATTAGCTAAAGGTAGCTACATTTTTAAACCCCTTTTTTTAAACAAGAATGTACATTTTTAAGCATAAAAGTTAAAAGGTTAAAGTAGCTCAGCTGAAACTGCTTAAGACAAAGTAGCAGAAGCTGTGCTGAAGGGTTAAAGTAGCTGAAGCTGTGCTGAAGGGTT